ACTCTTAGGGCCGGGGATGTAGCTCAGTGGGACAAGCGCCTGCCTGGCAAGTGCAAGGTCCTGAGTTCGATCCCCGGTACCAAAAATAAAATAAAATAAAATAAAAATTTAAAAATGAGAGGAGTTACTCTTCAATCCATATATAAATTTGTAAAACAAAAGGAAAATCTTGAAAGCAGCAAGAAAAGGACTTCTCATATAGAAGGACGCCCAGTAAGATTAACAGCTCGCTTCTTAGAAAAAAAGCCAGAAATTGGTGGAATGATACTTAATGAGCAGATCGAAATAAGCTATGAACCAGGAACTTGGTATCCAGAAATGAAGGCAAAATAAAAACATCTCCACGTAAACACAGACAGACTTCATTGTTTGCAGTGGTGCCTTAGAAAAATACAGGTGAAAGGGAGGGCTAGGCACACCACTTCAGTAATAGAACAAAAGGGGAGGAGGAAGTTCATTGGAGTAAGAGAATGACACTGAACAGTCACCTGGAGCCACAGTAGGAGAAGGAAGTGGTGTGTTAGTTACTAGAAAAGTCTTCATAAAATAACCCATTTTTTCATCCTTTTCCCTCTTTAAAATACATACAATTGTATAAAATGATAATTATGTGTATTTTAATGTGTATTACATATGACAATAATACAAAAGTGGGAGAGGAATGGAGCTTTGTTGGAACGAGATCATTTAAAAAGCAAGTTTTAATAATACTAGAACAATTAAAAAGGAATTAAAGAAAGAGACTTAGAAAACAACAGCAAAGTGGCAGACCTGAGTCCTGCCATATACATAATAACACAGAATATGGGCAGAACAGACACTTGGTGGTTTTCCCTCTCAATACTGTAAGTATTTCACTCCATCCTCTTACTGCAGGTGTGGCTTCTGAAGGGAAGTCTCACATTCTTACCTTTGCTCTTCTGTTGGCAGCGTCTGCACCCATACTCTTCTGGCTTCTTCAGTATTTTTTTTCAGTACTTTTTATCTGATTATGTATGCCTATGTGTTACTTGGAAGAACATTTATGCTGCTTGGTTCCCTCCCTCTGTCCCTTCCTTTCTCTTTTCTCCCTTGCTCTCCCACTTTCTCTTGACAAGGTTTTGCTACAAGGTTCAGGGTGGCCTTGAACTTGCTGTATAACCCA